TTTGTTTTTAGATCATTTAAAATATAAGCATCTTAAAAATGTTACATTACGATAATTTTTCATCGCTCTTATTTTCAATTGATAATCACTGCTCACTTTTAATTTTCAAATAACAACCTATATTAAAAATTCCATAAATAAATGGAGTAAGTTCATCCAAATGAAACAAATTTGAAATCTATTTCCTTGAAAATTAAAACCACAGAAACGTCTCACAATAAAACAACAAAGTAAAAACAAATTGTTGAATGGTTAATACTCGTTAATTTTTCACAAAAATTCAAAAATCAATAAGTTGAAAAGTAATCAAAACGATCTGTGTGGGCGGGAATCAAATATGTCTTACCTGTTTTCTGGTTTTATTTATAAATTTATTTACATTTATACATTTATTAACATTTTTATTAACTTTGTTTTTGCTTTATTTTTTAATAAACAAATGTAGCCTGTTTTATTTTTTCCGTCAAATAATATAATTTTTGTACAATTTATCCAAAGAAAATAGAGAAATATAACAAGTCGGATAGATGTCCAATCATAAAAATAGTATTAAATTTATTGAATATTCCATTAGACCTTATAAAAGACGGATACAATTTAGTCAAAGAGTTTCTTAAAGATACTTTTCGAAGAAAAGAATGAAGTAAAACATGTGTATAATGTAAATAATTAAACTGTAAATTAGGGTGGTCTTCTATTTTAGATTCTGAGTGGAGCGAAAAAGCTTATGGTGATACAAAGATGTTTATTTTTTATTTTTGTTTTTGTTCTGTGGACAAATTTTCTACCAGAGATCTTGCTCCAATTTTATGTGTAACAATTTTTCTGAAATGTGAGAAAGTACTTTAGGGACGTCATTTTTCGATTTTCTTAGTTTTCCCAGAAAACATGAAAAACCGGGATAAAATATGAGAAAACCGGGAAAATTGTAGGAAAACTGGAAAAATCTGTATAACATTAAACAAATTGTATTTGAGAAAATATATAAAGTCGATTGAATTACTTACTATAATATGACATGTTTATTGTTGACAAAGCAACGCCATCAACTGAATTCAGCGCAGAATCGTTTTTCGTAAGCAATGGTTTATCATTACTTACAGGTATACATTAAACTATCTATAACAGTGGCTGTCCCCATTATCCTAGAACATCTTTTCGTGTTTGAATACAATATAATATTGAGCACCCATTACAATACGAGGCATTAGATAAACACCTACCTTGGTATAGAAAAAATAGATTACATATACGGTTTTAAATCGCTTTTTAAACACTGGGTGTGAATTTAAATCGCCCTGCATGGGGTAACTATCTGTAGTAGTTAGCTGTTACATACAGTACGTTTCGACTGTAAACTTGTTGTTATTTTTTCACAATATTTCCTAAAATGCATGAATGTATGCGATCTATTTGACTATAATATTATGCTAAACGCCACAAATTGATTTTGTTTTTCTCAAAAACATTTCAGATTTAAATAAAATGGACCGAAATTATGTACGAGAAAATTTCATATACCCATATGTGCAGTGACACGCACGTCACGGTCACAATAACAAGCGGTACAGAAAAAAGAAACATTTTTATGTACCGTATGTTGTGTTTATTTGTACTCAGTGACGTGAACAAGAGAGAGGGGGCAATGGGAGATTTTAACTACATCGAAATTTGAGATTTTTTTTGCAAACCCTTCGTAATAATTCATATTAAACATTTGTATAATTTATAGTGGTAACCTTTCCATGGTGTGAAGGATTTTACGGATGCATGTTTTTCATATTTAACTATAAAAAAAGCAGGGGTATGCCCAAGGAGGGATTTATGGTTAGGGCCTCCATAAATGTAGTAAATCCTTCTGTGAATAAAAGTGTAGGTGTGTGACGCGTGACTATATGTGTATAATTGTAATGGCTATTATTATTAATGTTATCAACAGTAATCTGTTGTTTATGAATTTAGCTATAATTATATTATTATAATAAGAAAACAAATAAAATAGAAATTATGGACCCTCTCCCATATACGAAATTCCTGTGTATGCCTCTGACTAAAAGTACAATATTTATAATTATAGTATACATACATCAGATATAGTTACTTACCATAAGCCTCATCTAAAGCCCAAAGGAATAAAATGTGTTTATATCAATAATAATAATAATAATAATGTGTTTAGATTCTGTCGATTCTGAGCAAATAAGATAACGATTATTATCGGAGATAAGATCATTTTTTCTAAAAACACTTAACGGTTAGTAAAAATGCTCTCACTTATCACTTAATAATACTCTAATTGAAAATTTTTTCAAAATGTACAAAAAAATTTTCCACGACCTTTTTTTTATTTTTATTTTTATCGTATTTTTTTATTAAGTGAATAACTCTCCTATATTTGCATACAGTATTTCGACAAATTATTACTTAATTACTTAATTAGATTATTACGGTAGTAATTTACTTGAAACATTTGTCAACATTTTCAGCAGTTCGTAACTTATGCCTTTTTTTTCATAATTTAATTCTTGTTGATTTCTTGGTTACCTTAGAAACAAGTGGATAACATGACTATTATACCACATTAATGCTCCACAATGAGAATAGTTTTTTTGATTTACCGTTGTATACACCTGTAATAGTGTCCTATCTCACTTTTTAAATTGCACTCCCCCCCCCTCACGAAAATAAATCTGTTTGCGACCACTGTTTGTATCAACGATTTTCTTTGTTAGACGAATATAATATTATATAATAATAATTGTCGTATCACCGAAGAAAGAATGAAACACGTGCCGGAGTCGATTATAATAATACATAAAATAAAGTCGTAATTACATCCCGTACTCTAACATCGCTAATAGATTACACCATAGACAAATATTGGTACAATAATTGAATATTTGATTTTTTTCGGGAGCATTCTCATACGTCTTATCATAGATAAAAAAATGTATTATCGATAAACAATTGTTATACATAGTATATCTAGGATGTTTTATTTTCCACTCGCATTGATATTAATACGATAGAACTTGACAAATATTTTTGATTTTACTATGGTTGATTCTTTTATTTTCGCTGTCTGTTAACAACTTTTCTACCAGATATCTTGTTTCGAATCTGATGTGTGACGTATTTTCTGAAAAAAAAATCGTATCTTGTTAGTGCTTATACGAATGTCGTTTTTCCAAATAATAGAGGAAAAAATATGTTTACATAAAAAAACTTCTATATTACTATTATTATGACACTTCAAAACACATTTAACCGGACTTCGCTCAGAATCGCTTTTTATTTGAAATGGTTCATCGTTACGTATAGATGTACATTAAATATTTCCATGTTTCCTGCCTTTTCAACTTTTTTCATATTTATTCGCAATTCATTAACGCAATTCATTTAGATTTTTCTGATTTAAGATTCTGAGGAGAGTAAAGAACCTTATACTTTTATAAAGATGTTTATTTATTTATTTATTTATTTTTTTAACCGCACGCAATTTTTCTACCAAAAGGCTTACTCAGATTTCTAAATGTAGCATATTTTCTGAAATAGAGACTGGTGCAGCCACTGTTATAGTCAATTTAATGTGTATCTGTAAGGAACGATTAACCATTGCTAATAAAAAAACGCAGTTCAATTGATAGTGATGCTTTGTCAACAATATATATATATATAATGTTGTATGATGGTAAAATAATTAAATAGGCATTATATTTTTTTTTTTTTTTTGATAATATTTGTTTCATATATTTGTTATATATTAATATTTGTTTCACCAATTTTCCAATTTTTCCTGATTTTCCCATGTCTTTTTCCGGTATTCACATTTGCTGGGAAATCTCTTGGGAAAATCGAAAAATGACTTCTCTAAAGAATTTCCTTATTGAAATTTACTTTTAAAAACATTGCTATCAATATAGATCGAAGCGAAATTGCTGGTAGAAAAGTTGTTCACAGAAAATGAAGGCCGTAATATATTTTTATTTATATCTACGTTTCTTATATTTTCCAGTTTTTTCTTTAGGTTTTTCAGATTTAATGACAAAACTCTTGAGAAAATCGAAAAATGATTTCCTAAAATACCTCAGCACGCCGAATTTCCTTCAGAAAAAATGCTACACTGAGAAATCTTAGCAAGTCTTCTGATAGAAAAGTTGCGCGCAGTTAAAAATAAATAATAAACGTCTTTGAAAAATAATAAAAGCATCATAATTCATATACATGAAAAAAAAAATAATACTATATTGGGATAAAATTTATTTTTTTTTTAACTCCTTGAATACGACTTTTCATAAACTTCCTGTTAAATTTTCAAGCATTTCTGTTTAGTATAATAATTTTACCACTGTAAGTACGTACCGAATAAAAATTGCATAAAAAATTCGCTAAGCCCATGGGACTATGAAATACCCGAAAATAACAATTTATCTAACAGTAATATAACAATAAAAGTATTTTATTCAACAAATATTTAAATAGAAATATATTTTATCCAATATTACATATGAAAACAATAAATCCGTAAATAATAAGTTTCCCAAATTATTATGCCATTATCTTAATATCAATATTTTCGTTTGATAACGCTAAATATTAGTTATGTAACATTTGGTTATTCGGTATTCTGTAATTTCGGACAAATCCTAAAAACATATGGTAGACAGTAGACAAACAATCACAAGGGTTTAGGTGTGTTTGTTTTGTTTATCATGCCGAAAATATACACGGTTTCCATGGTTTACAGTTAATACAATATTATTATCCATACAACTTGCATCAGTTCTACAAATGAAAATTAATTTTTTATAGCAACAAATGTAAAATACAGTGAAAAAATGTCGCATGGTTGTTTTGGATGGTTGGGGAGCGGCTGCGTACAAGAATATATGCAACCCTACACCGCACAGTCGTCTAATCAGTGTTACCCATGATTATACAAATCCGAATATTGTTTTCAACAAAATGTATGCGTTTGTATATAGTGTGTATGTAGTATGTAGTGTGTGTGTAGTATGTAGTGTGTGTGAGTAGGCGTATTGTGAATTTTCGTGTAGGATGGTGTAATTTGTTTACTTCAAGTGTTTTAAATTGTGATCGAACAATTTCGAAACCTAAAGGTCTAACTGAAAAAGAAATGATTGATGCATTATTCGAAACACCAGAAGATTCTTGTATCGGAAGTAATTAGCTGTGAATTCATATCTACTAAAAGAGGAAGACCAAATAAAGAAAATAAACAAACTAATATAACTGACAGAAAAACCAGAGGTGTTTACAAACGACATTTCTAGGTGTTAGATTTGATGGTATCAACATTTTCCTGATTGGTTTGGGACTAGACAAAAGTGTAAATACTTAAGACTGCAAAGGTATAACATATGCTATTTGTAATAAATGTAATAAATCCTTATGCTTCACTAAAAGTTCTAACTGTTTTAAAAAAGTACCTTACTAAACAAATGTAACAAGTATACTTGGTTAATATAAATTACTGTAAAAATTGGTAGGTAAATAAAGTCCATTGTAAAAATAATAACCATTTATTTCAAATCCACAAGACACATTAGACAAACGTAACCATTATACCATAATATAACATATACCATATATTGTATTGTTGACACAGCATCACTATCAAATAAACTCCGCTCATCATCGGTTTTTCGTTAGCAATGATATATTGTTGCTTACAGATATACATTGAATTCTCTTCTGTATCCTACCTTCTCAACTTCCGACCTACAGCAGTGGCTGCACCCACATGCATATTATGGATATCCAGTTCATGAAATGAATGATTTCACTATGTGGATGTGACATATACATATAGTACCATATATTAAGCCTAGATTAACAGATTTCAAGTAGTTATTTTTAATTTTGATCAAATATATCACTGATTCATTGGAATTAATATTATCATGATATTATTATTACTAGGTACTTAGTTATATATATATATATATTATTATTTTTTAATAAAAGGAAAAGAATATTTATGTTTCACACAAATCTATTTCTTCTAATATCATAATAAGAAGAGTTAAAATTCAATAACCAAGCGAGGTATGACTTATGTTTTTCAACCAGTATTAATTTGTCATTTAGACCTTTATGTCATCACGTTTAAATAATAACTAACACTTTCTAGATTCAAATGTTTTGCCATATCAGGCATATATATAAAAACTAATTTTTCCTACATTCAAATTTCTGAAGATACCGCTACTGTGGCCTGACAGTATGTAGGCAAATATCTATATTTTAGATCCTTTACAGATTGGCACAACATAATTTGCAATATTTGTAGTATAGCAAATTTATGTTATTTTCTAATAACTTAAATTGTGGTTTTTAGAATGATAGCAAACTTGTTTAAATCATTTTTTTCAGTTTCCAATTTGAAATTTGTAAACCTATTAAGATAAAAGATTAAATTAAAATTCAAGTACATAGAAACTTTGGACATGATTTCTATAAATGATATTTAAATCTAATATGAACTTAGTTATTTTTTATTTACACATTGTGACCTTTAATTGGAATAATTAATTCCTATGTCTATTATTTGTTGAGTTGCTATTGTAGTACCTATTTTAAATCGTACATACAAATGAAAGAATACAACGACATTGTAAAGTATTTGTTATAAATTTAAATGTATTAAATGTTTTTATTTTTTTTTTGAGCTGATTAAGAACAAAAAATGGCAACAATTACGTCAACTACTTTCACACCGGGTACCCTATTATGGGTAAATGTGAATAACATCTGGTGGCCAGGGAAAGTCGTACACCCAAAAAGTGCACCAAAAAAAACACAGCATATCATGAACCAAAAGCGGCATCTCGCTGCTATAGTCTGGTTTGAGACAGACAACAAATAGTAAGTTTAAATTAGGATGCAATTTTTGTATTTAGAATATTTGTATCGGTTCCAATTAAAATATACAGGTTGTTCCATGGAGATATACTTATTTTGTTATATCTCTGAGATAATAAAGATGAAAGAATTTTTTTTTATTTTGTTATTCACTGGGATAAAGACTACAAAAATTATATTCCAATTAATTGTATATATTGTGGTAAAAAATTTAAAAAATGACTTTTAAATTCAGAGAAAAGTACCTATAATAAATACCCAGCAGGCTGTAATCACATTTTTTATTATTATCATGATTATTGACTGTACATTTATTTTTTTTAAACTTAAAAATATAATTAAAAATAACAAATCCAATGAAAATAAAAAGTGGATTCATCAACATTTTCGGAAATAATAAAATAAAACATTTTTTTTAAAATTTCTTTCAAAACACGAACAATTAATTTGTGATCCTTATTCCGGTGAGTAATATTAATGAAACTGAATTTGACTATCTTTATTATCTCCGAAGATATTACAATGTGTATATATTAGTATAACACATTGTATATTACAGGTCATATTCACATATGGATAATGTAATATCAATAAAGTGTTTTTGTATTAACTTGATAATAGAGCATTAGCCAAAGTCTTCTGGATAACATCAAAAATCTATAAAACTAAATTTTCAATGTTTAATTGCAAAGAGTTACTATTAAACCATTTTTTAACTCATGATAAACCATCATTAGCTTTGCCATGAGGCCTATCTTAGGAGTTATCATTAAATATAAATACTATATCATCATATTTGCAGCAGATTATTTTACCATTATGTTAAGATTTAATAATCCATTTATATGCATTATAATAATTAATATTGTTAGAACAGCTATTATCTAAACTATCATTACAATTTAAACAACATAGAGTACCATAACAGTCAGTAATTCTTCATTTCAAAATATGGGCTCAAATATAATTTTTATTTAGATTATTTACGTATGTGTGATCAATACAGTAACTAAGTTGGTCTTTTTATAGTCTGTAGTACAAAAGCTGTGAACACATTAGAATATTCAGAGTTATTATGATTAGTATACAAATCAATATTAATATCACTACAAACAAAAATAGTATTTTTGTATTTATCACCAAAAAAATATGTTTCTAATGATTCAAAAAAATAATTTGTATTTTTAAAAAAAGGAGACCTATAAAAATATAGTGCATTCATTTTTTTTGTTATTTTTAGATGTCAATATTTACATAAAATCCAAGGAAAAATGTAATAAAATGAATAATTATTTAAAACTAAATTAATTAATCAAATAAATATACTCAGACCTAATGTACAATAGAAATATTATTGATTTCTAACAGGCCCTTATAAAATCATTTAGAAGATTATACAAAGACTTTGAAATTAATTCATGATTTATTTCATTTCACAGTGTTTGTAGCAAAAATATAACTGTGTGGGTTAAAACTATGTTTTCCAATTAATTAGATAGAGTATTATTAAAAATAAATTTTTTTTATTCCTGTCAACAAACTATGTTTGGTGGCACAGTCCATGGTTTTAAGAAGAACATCACTAAATTTCACAGAAACTTAAAATTTTGATTCCTTTAGTTTATTAAAATTAAAATATTTATATTTTCAACCATAAAATACACAAAAAAAATTACTCATTGAAAAACATACAGACAAACAATAAAATACAAACTTCTAGCATCTAAATGTTGGCCTTCTGAACATCTGATGGAAGAATAATAAATCAGCTTTAATAGCATTATTAGTAGTTATACA